AGTCAAGTGACTGATTTCTACGGCAACAGCAAGGCTGCATACCAAGGTGGACGCTATGGTGTAAGGGCCTTGATCGATGCCATGAACCCATTGGACCTCTTAAAAGCCATTGGTCGAAGTGCCCGTTGGCTGTTCGTCGGCCGCAAGAGTCGTATGCTGGACCCCAGTTATCAGCCGCAAGAGGAGTCACTCGGTCTCCAGCCACCCCAAGAGGGCAGCGAACTTACCCAGCATGGAACAGCCTACCGTGGTGCTGGAACGGCCATATCCGGAGGCCGAACAGGCCGTTATGGTGACACACCCTACGAAGAGGGTGATGTGCTTCTGGCTCACGCCCAACCCAATCCCGAGATCGCGCTCACAGGCACTTCGCCATATGCGTCGGACTTCGATGACCATGCCCAAAACCCGTCAACTGCCTTTGACGGACGAAGCTCGTCACCCTATGAGGATCCTTCGCTTCGCAGTCATGACAATTTGTACTCGGAATCCCCGGTCCATCCTTACCCATCCAATGGTCCTCTCCGTGGGCAGGTCCCTATGCCCATGCCGGACTCTTACCATCCTCCTCCTCCATATCCTACCAACCATCATTCATGATCCATATCTATGATTCAATGATGACTCAGTGCACACATCTCATATTGGCCAAGTTTACTTTGATACCTTTGATATGCATGTTTCACCTGTGATTGAGCTGCAGACATTATTCTTCTTACCTCACGCTACCCATGAGCACTTCGAGATTTTTGCGCTTTTTTCTCTTTCTGTCCTGTTGTTTGAGTAGGTATGGATACCCGCCTGTTTACATAGCGGCATGTTTTTGTTTTTGTTTTTGTTCTTGTATTCATATTTTTCTTATTCCCCTTCTCTTTTTTTTACCTTTATTTGTCCTATCCCCACCAGTGCGCATTATTAGCATCGCTGTGGGTTTACATTTCTTGTATAGTATCGTTTGTCTGAACTAGATCTTTAGTCACCGACTGAATAGGGGGAAAAGGAAGAATAATCATATCAAAGTTCGTTATCTCATCTAAATGGCCTTGACACGGGCCCAGAAAGGAACACTGTCTAAGCAAAGTAGCTAAAAGCCTAGGCTCAAGATCCGGTGTATTGCCAGTTGCGGGGGTATTTTCATGGGGTGATCGTGGAAACAGTGAAGAACTGAACTGACTACTATCATGAATACATCCCACTGCCGGGACCCCCACGCCCACCCTGGGCATAGAACTCTTCATTGAAGCTCCTTTGGAGAATAAAGGGATCCTTGCGCGCGGTGGCTACGTGACGCGCAGTCTGAATGACTGCAGATTTGCGGCCCAATTCGCGCATGGCCTTGACGTTGTCGCCGAGTTGGCCAAGTAGCGAGATCAATAGCACATCGTTGCTCTGCGAGAGTACTTCGGTGGAGAAGGGGCCTTGCTCCGATGGAGAGAGGATGGACAGGTGCGAGAGAAGAGAGTTAATGTTGCGGATGATCGGGTGTGACAACTTGGTCGTAGATGTATTGTCCTTTGATCGATCTGAGCTAAAATCCGCTTCTGAGAGACTGGAGAGGTAGGATTTGATGAGGGAGACGCGGGATTCGAGTGTGCGAACGGCATTGAGACGAGTGCTGAGGCTTGCGATTACTTTTCAACTTAGTTAGTATCAGCCATTCGAGTAGTAGTGTTGAGACTGTGAAAACTTACGCTCCTCTTCCTCCTGTGAGAGTTCAACCTGAGAGCTCTGCTTATTTGACTCTGTCTGTTCTGTCTGCTGCGCGCGCTTGGCCGGCTCCTGTGTCGCATTCAAAGAAGCGGTACCAGAAGCCTGAACAATAGTATCGATACCGATCATCTCAGATTCTCCTGTTTCCACTGAGTAGGGAAGCTCCCTGAATTTGATATTTGGCACCGCCTCCTCGCCATCAACCTGCATGTCCTTGCTTGCATCGGGGGCGGTTTGGCCTTCATGAACGCTCTCGTACACGGTTAGAGGAAGCTTGCCGCCATTTGAACCTGAATCGTTAAGCTGTGAAGGGTGGAAGGCGAGGAAGACCGCAGATTCGTTGTAGTCCTGGAGGATCTGTCGGTGAAGAGGGAGATGGGCGTCATTCGGCCCGGTCGATGGCGCGGTTGACCACCATCCAACAAGGTCGAGAGGGGGGTCTTTGTGCACATTCTTGACTGTAATATGGTCAGTTTTACTTCCTAGGGGCAAACCAAATTGATCTTGAGAGGGGTTCAACGTACACTGCTCAAGACGTTTTTGAAACCATACCGCCGGCAAGACAATCTCATCGTTCAACCCGTAAGTAACTGGGCACTCAAACGCATGCTCAAGTGTGATGTCTCGTCCATTCTGCTGGCCTAGAAGAGCGCCAATTATCGGCCCATGCTGCTGTCGGGCAGCGTGTCGGGTAATTTGGTCGGAAACAGTGAGGAGAACCAGTGGGTGCAGCTGGATATGAAGACCCGAATCGGATGATTTCTGAGAGACCAGGCACTGCGGAGGCTCCATGACTGTATGCTGTAGTCCTGGGATGTAGAGGAACTTCTGGTGAGGGACGGAGTAGTAGATACGCTTGGTTGATGCGGTCATGTTTGGTCGGTTTGGTGTTGATGCCTGAGGCAGAATTGAGCTTTCCCCGCGGCGCATAGGGCGAGCTTCGTCTGTCACAAAGGTATCCATTTCGGTTTTAAGTCTGTGACTGATTATTGGAAGAACTGAACATATTCCAAGAAACCGCAATGTCAGTTCCTTCGACATTTGATGCAGTGAGATCACACCTCGCTCAGGTCCAGGAGAACCCCTCCACGGCCTTGGACATTCCTCTCATCGACAAGTTGAAGTTGCAACTAGTCGAATCCACCGACCCTGTGGTCCCTGCCACTCTTCTATCACAAATTTCAGCGCTCCTTCCCATCTTGCAAGAAGACCCTACGCCTATTACAACCCTCGGAATCAGAGTTACCGCCTACTTCACCTTCACCGATCTCCAATCTGTCGATCCTCCAATCAGTCTTGTCGCTGGCTTCAAGGCCCCATCACCACCAATCAATCTCCTAGCTCTTTCGCTGTTGGCCAAAGCCGGACAAAAATGCAGTGAAGCTGCCATAGTTGCAGGTGATTCAAACTTGGTGGCTTCACTTGTGGAGCTGTGGCTTTCAACATCTTCGGCCGAAGTCGCACAGGCTGCACTGGACACATTATGGGAGCTTTTAGAGGTTGATGTCGCTCATCATTTGGAAAATGGAGAATATGAGCATACCGGTGATGAAAGTCATGCAGGACAGGGACTCTTGTGGAGGAGAGTATTCACCGATAAGGATGTCTACGGTCTACTGTTTGGGCTATGTAGCCTCCAGAATGATGCCCCTGGTGATCTCTCTAAACGCGAAAGAACGCTCGCACAAGGCAGGCTAATGACCCTCCTGGTGAAAGCCGGAAAACTCCGCTGGGACATCATCTCAACAGCGCAAGTCCCAGGGATCGAGGCTAAATACCAGAGCAGTAGTCTCCTGCATTTTGCCACCTGTCATATGGTCCAAGTGAGCGATGTCTTGATGCATATGACACTGCTGAACTTCTTCCGCGAGCTACTAGAGATTGATGGGCCAGGCCTTGTCGCTCGGAGCTCGGTGCAGTCTACTTCGACTTTCTCATCCCCTGCCCTCGACTTCCTTGTTGCACACGAGCTGCATTCCCAAGTGCTGACGTATTATCTCGATGAGTCCAAGCTGGACTCAGTGGATCTTCTCTACCTATCCGGCCCGATTATGGCATATGTGGCCCGGTACGCCGAGATGTATCCCAACCACTTATTACAGAACCCCTCTACCCTACTTGATGGGATTATCTCCCGCATCAACAGATCACTCGCCATTCCTAGCGCGCAATGGGCACACGGCGAAGTACCCACAGGTCACCTGGCTATTTTAGCTTCACTCCCACGAGTGCTTCTCATCGAAGCTGGTAGGCATGGCGCCAACCCGGTTCTCGCGGTTCCTACAAACCCTCCAAATGGTGAAGCTCTGGATGTTCTGGCGAGAATTTTCCACGGACCCCAGCGAACTGGAATTTCTGATTCGATGAAGTTGAACACATCCGGCTCAACCCCAACTGACTGGGACCGTGAAGCAGCTGCAGCTCGCATCCTCTACTTCCTCTATGTCAATCAACACCCCACCTTTTGGGATGATGTCGTGGGCGCTGCCGACGTCCTAGTGATGAAAGAGATTGCTTTGTCGGCCATAACTTTCATGAGGGCTATTACAACAGCGAACTGGAAACCCTCACCTTCAGCGCCTGTCAATACGAATTCATCCCGGTTCCGGCTGCCCTCCGAAGAGGGCCTGGGTGAGCTATCCCCAGCTACTAGTGGATTTTTCCCCAAATCAGGAGCATGGGCAGTTCTCACTCCACCTGCCCTGACCACCCTTCTCCCGTATCTTTTCAAGCCACCTCGCTCCTATGCAGAGTTCGTCGGGGGTGGTGCAGGTGATTCCCAGAGTGTTGTTTGGAAAGTTGCCACTGCGAAGCATGATGTTCTTGTAGCACTGCACAGCCGGTTGCAAGAAACCGATGGCCAGGTGGAAGGGTTTGAAGATATCATGCGAACGCTACAGCAGCGTGTGAACGAGGGTCCCTGGGGACCTATGCAATCCGGCAGTGCTCAGATAATGACTGCCGGACTATAAAGTTGCAATAAATTTGAAAAGCAAAACAGAGAAAAAAAACACTTGAACCAGTTTAGTGATTCTCTAGCCTCGTGTTCAATCAAAAAAATATCAAGTTCAATGGTGTATTGTGAACAGAGTACAAAGTAAAGATCAGCGCGTGTTATCTTAGCGTCCACGCGGGGAAGCATTGAGGAATTCTGCCAGCCCTAGTGCTGTTTCGGGTGGGCGGTAAAGAAATGTATTTTTCCGGAGTCATGATCATCTATCCGCAGTTATATCATGAAAAATGGTCCATATTCGTTAACTCGTGTTAATTGACGTCGTTATATCACAATCATGTCACGCCGTGGGGCACCAAAGGGCAAAAAGCCCCCAGGCACAGAGTTTACATGGGATGCCGACCCTGGCGGGGAGCCAGACACGGCTCCAACGCCGTTGTACCCTGTATGTTTGCTTCTTGGCCTGGCTCTCCAGGAAATCCTCCTCTTGCAATGGACCACTCTCCATCATGCCGAAATCTACAGAGCCTAACCTATCCTATCCGCAGAAATATACTGTCCCATTTGCTCGGAAGTTGAGCCCCGCAGAACAAACCCAGGTAGACTACTACCGCGAGTTGCGCGAAACCTTTCACGAGGGCCCTTTTTACTGTGTACTTGATGCTTCGTCTTCCAATGCCAAAAAAGGCAGCGCCGCGCGTGCCAACTTTGACGCGTTTCACGGCATGCCCACCTATTCCGGTCGTTATCAAAAGAAACGACGTACCCTTCCCAAGATCACCGGACGGACTTATTGTGAGTACTTTCTACAAGCATTGTCTTTTCTACGGTTTCGGGTGACTGATCCCGCATACTTGAATCGTTTAGTCTTGAAGTTCTTTCCCCGCGAGCTATGGCAAACCCTCCAGCCGAACTTCCGACCTGACGCGTCCCTGGATGGCTACCAGGGCCAGTCGTCGGCCGCTGGAGTGAAGCGTGGTTTTGAGGACGAAGAAGACGAAGCTGGACCTGCAAAGCGCGTGGCCGCCGGCGAAGACGAGGAGGATGGTGACGCAGATGCGGATGAAGGCGCATTGATTGATGAGGATGATGAACAGGAGGAGGAAATTATGGATGACGACTTCTCCGAAGATGATGATGAAATGGGCGGCGATTACAATGCCGAGCAGTACTTCGACGATGGAGAAGATGATATGGGTGATGAAGACGGTGGAGGCGGTGGCGGCGACGATGACTTCTGAAAAGCAGATTCACGATACCCTTTTTTTTCTTCCAATTTAGCCTTACTATGGCTTTTCAGCGGCCCGGCCCGCGCCTTTTTGGCATATCCTTTGTATTTATTTAATGCCACAGTGGATTGTTCAGTGTCTTCAGCGCCAATGACTCTGGTAACCTGGGTTATTAGGATATTCGAATTAAATTAACCACACCACATAGTATCTAACCAGTTACTAGGCACACTCTAAGCGAAAGAAGCAGCGAGAACTCGTAGCTTCTCCAAGGTCTAGTAGGCAATATGCAAGACAGGGACTTCGTTTGCTTTGAGTCAACAAAAAGCCACTTCCAGAGTAAAGGTTGGCCAATGTAAGATATCTCCCTTATATCTGCACAACCTCCATTTAGGCTCAGTCCACCTGGCACGTTTGTCTACGCTTAATACAACTATTAAAGGCGTATGCTACCACCTCTGTGGGGTTTCATCCCTTTATCCCTCTTCTTAGACCTAATTCTTCCAAAAAATGATTATCCTAACGCCAATGTATTCTAGGCTATAGAAAGATCAACTCGGGTAGGCGGTAGATATGGCGGTGGATATTTGATAAGATCGATTGGTTTTTGCGTGACGTCAGCCGATTTTTGGAGGGGCAAAGCAAGGATTGTTCAGACACTTCGACATCAGAGCGCAGAATGGGCGACACCGCAGATCCACGTCCCTTAGGACGGTCCGTGCTCATTTTATATGGCTCCGAAACGGGCAATGCGCAGGAAGTGGCCGAGGAATTAGGCGCCTTGACCGAGCGGCTCCGTTTTGCGACGCATGTATCCGAGTTGAATCAATGCAAGCCGGTATGTACTTCTTTGCAATGACCCTTCAGAGGGCTAATGCCTATGGAACCGTAGGAATCCCTTCTTTCATATACATTCATCATATTTGTGACCTCGACTACCGGACAAGGCGATTTTCCAGCCAATGCGCGGTCTTTTTGGAAGTCGCTTTTGCTAAAGAAGCTACCTGCTACCTTTTTGAACGGCGTGAACTTCACTTGTTTTGGGCTAGGAGATAGCTCATATCCTAAGTATGGAAGCTTTTACCACCATGCGTTTCAATGGCTGATTGTGAAAGATTTAATTGGGCGATACGCAAGCTCTATAAACGGCTTTTACAACTTGGTGCAAATGAAATCTATCCCACGGGCGAAGCAGACCAGCAACATCCAGAAGAGTCAGTACTATCTTGATCCTCATGCTATATATCTGTTCACGGCTTACATGGCTTGATATGCAGACTTGAGGGAACTTTCCTACCATGGATGACGGATTTTCGAAAACATTTACTGAGCAGACATCCTCTCCCTGCTGGACAACACCCGATCCCAGATGATGTGCAGCTCCCACCAAAGTGGAAGCTACAGTTGGCTGAGGAGACCGATCCCGTCCTGTTACCTCAAGCTGCCGTCGCAAATGAACATCAAGCTTCTACAGATGAATATCCAGGACTACACCATCTGGACCATGACTCCCGACCCATCCCACACTCGCTCTCTGCGACATTGACCGAAAATCGGCGCGTAACTCCACGAAAGCATTGGCAAGATGTGCGCCATATTACTCTGACCGTCCCAGACTCTGTTTCTTACGTTCCCGGGGACATGATCGCCATCACACCGAAAAGCTCTTCAATTGACGTTCAAACCCTTATTGACTTGATGGGTTGGAACGATCTAGCAGATCGACGAGTCTCTTTCGTTCCAACAGGAGATATTCCATCACCACCACCGATTCCTGGTCTCGACTCTTATCCCAACCTCACCCTTCGTGCCCTCCTCATAGACTATCTCGACGTCAAAGGGATACCCCGCCGATCGTTCTTCTCCACAATTGCACACTACACCAAAGATGAAATGCATAAAGAACGGTTACTAGAATTTACAAACCCCGAATATATCGACGAGCTATGGGATTACACGACACGCCCACGGCGTAGTATACTTGAGGTGTTGCATGAGTTCGACACTGTCAAAATTCCCTGGCAGCACGCAATATCTGTTCTCCCGGTCATGCGCGCCCGCCAATTCAGCATTGCCAGCGGCGGAACACACAAGCAAACTGCTGATGGAAATACACAATTTGAACTACTCATTGCTATTGTCAAATACCAGACAGTGATCAAGAGAATCCGCGAGGGCGTCTGTACCAAGTATCTCTCCGTCCTCCAGCCAGGTAGCACCCTTCAAGTTCAGCTCCAGCCCGGCGGTCTCAAGTCTTCAGTTCAGCAACTGACCGGAGCAACCGTGCTCATTGGACCGGGCACTGGAGTTGCACCCCTGCGCTCCATGCTTTGGGAGAAAGCGGCACTTGTGCAGGCTTACCGCGAGCAAAATCCCGGCGTCAGTCCACCAATCGGCCCTACTGTCCTCCTATATGGAGGGCGGAACCGAGAATCCGACTTCTTCTTTGAAGAAGAGTGGACAGAGCTCAGCAAGCTCATCCCGTTACAGGTGCTTACTGCTTTTTCGCGTGATCAGCAACGTAAGATCTACGTGCAAGATACCATACGCGAGAACTTCTCGCTCTTCTTCCGTCTGTTGCATGATATGCAGGGGTCAGTTTATATTTGTGGTTCCTCGGGTCGCATGCCCCAAGCTGTGCGTGAAGCGCTCATCGAAGCCTTCCAGAATGGAGGAGCTCCTTTGCCGGGGCAGCCTTTCACCCGTTCCCAGGCTGAGGGGTATCTCACTGGAATGGAGCAAAGCGGCCGCTACAAACAAGAGACTTGGTGATTGGTGTGAATACTTAGTTCGCATCACAGCGGAATATAAGACATTTTCCATCTATGTATTTATGGAAAGACCGCGAACGTACATATCAGCAGAGTTGGAAGTCCTAGGAACGTCACATCTACGACGCAATAAATTTCAATGTTTACACGATCATGTCAACTTTAAGGAACAGCCTCATTATCTTGAAAATACCTCTGTTTACAACCATCTGTGTTATCGTAACATTGTCTACTATTTACCTAGGCTTTCTCCCCTCGGGCCCTTGGTATTTAATGCCGTTATTGTCTAATTTCTTTAACGATTCTAATGCAATTGACTTGGAAACTTTTCTCTTCGGAGGCACTTCGTCATATAGCCATCGGTTTCTTTTTTCCTCTCTTTTTTATGTCTCGATCTTTCTCTCCGACTTAAGGAACTAGCCCTGAAGGCTGTACATATATATTTTTTTCACATTAGTATATATGATGGAGGGGGGAAGAACTAGCTACAGTCTACCTGGGTGAGGGATCAACTTGCCTGGTAGCCCACTAGAAAACAAAAGGAAAGACATATATCAGGGCTAGGATTTGGCACAGCTATAATTTATGACCATTTCATTACAGCATGTCATTGTTTCAATTTGACAAGACTGAGAACAATGTTCATTATTGGACATGTGCAATATGTAGGCTGTATGGTTAACCTCGGTAGGCTCGGTGATGTGACTACAGCAGAGAATTGCGGCCAATAGCAACGCTATATCGCTTCTTGCCTTGTTCTTTTTCCATTGGGCCTATCGTGTGGCTTTTTCTTTTTCCTATATCTCCCATATTTAAGCACATTAGCTGTCGTGATGTACTAGGAGAACATGTGCACAATAAAGTGTACCATGAACGGTGATGTGCGTAGAGGAAGAGACTGCCCCGGTGTTAACTAGTAATATAATAACTAGAAGTGAGCTGGAATACACACGTAATTAGTTGAATAAGTATATACTAAATAGTCTCTAAATAGCCTCCCTGCTAATTGTCCCCGTATCTCCGCTGCACTCCTTCTGGTCTATGAAATGCCACCATATCGCATAGTTACTTATAAACACAATTATATAATACAGATTCTATGAGTAACCGGTAGTCAGGGTAAACAGCTTGGAGCAGTCATTAACAAAAATCAAGCTTTAGAAACATAAACCTCAGAAAGCTCAATACCTGTAAGATTTCCACGGCATTGATGCTCCGACCCCAAGCGCTTGTTGTCATTATGGCCGCAAAAGCATACGGTACTTTGGGGAGTCAATGGTGCGAGGAGGGTTAAACTCGGGCCGCGTCGGCGTTTTTGATTTCTTGGCACTCCGTCACCGCACGCTTTATCCCTCTGAGTCTCCAACCTTCCTTATATCAACTCGGGAATTGGCCGTTGCTCGACTACTGACTACACAAAATGAGCGGCCTAAGGATATTGGTGCCTGTCAAGCGCGTGATTGACTATGCGGTAGGTCAAGTGCCCATTCAACTATGGCCCCTCCAAGTGCAGCACCGGGCGACCGATGCTCGGAGCTGTACCTCTCAACAGGGTCTCCACGACCCCCGCCACTCACTCTGAGATTGGGATATTATGACTGACGTCCACATTTGAACCCAACAGATCAAACCCCGTATCAACAAAGCCCAGACCGGTGTCGAAACCGCTGGTGTCAAGCACTCCCTGAACCCATTTGACGAGCTCTCAATCGAAGAGGCCGTCCGCCTTCGCGAGCGCAAGGGCCCCATTAAGGTCGAAGACATCCTTGCACTTTCCGCCGGCGGCCCGAAATGCCCCGATGTTCTCCGCACCGCCATGGCCATGGGCGCTGACCGAGCCTTTCACATCGACGTACCGGACAAGGGTGACGGCGGCCCGGAGCCGCTGACCATCGCCAAGATGCTGCAGGCTGTCGTCAAGGAGCAGAATGTGAACCTCGTGCTGCTAGGTAAACAGGCGATTGACGGTGACCAGGGTCAGACTGGTCAGATGCTCGCTGGTCTACTTGGGTGGCCCCAGGCTACACAAGCCAGCAAAGTCGACATTAAGGATGAAGCTGGTACCGTTGAGATTACCCACGAGGTCGACGGCGGTGTTGAGACTCTCCGCGCCAAGCTGCCTATGGTTATTACTACGGATCTCCGGTTGAACGAGCCGCGGTACGCTAGCTTGCCCAACATTATGAAGGCCAAGAAGAAGCCCCTTGAGAAGAAGACTCTTGCCGACCTCGGTGTTGAAGATACACGGCGGTTGAAGACTCTTAAGGTTACCGGTACGTACTTTTGGCGGTTCTGCTATTTTGTTCGTGGAATTAAGCTAATGTTTCGTAGAACCTCCGCCACGAAAGGGTGGTGGCAAGGTCCAGGATGTCGACGGCCTTGTCTCCAAGCTTAAGGAGCTGGGTGCGTTGTAAATGTGCTAAGCTTGTTCCTGATTGCACTTTGTTTCTATACCATCGCCTTTAAATTTTACCCACTAGATTTGGATTCGTCTTGTGCATTTCTCCCACAGTTTCTGATGGCCCTGTGACGAGCCATGTGTGCATGTGTTGGATGCTAGATCTTGATATAAATGAAAACCTATTCTTTATAATTGATAGCCTGCACTAGATCCACTAGTCCCAATTGACGCGCTCAATTGGGCATCCTTTAAGGATTTATAGTCATGGTTCGCAGGGGGCACTACTGCGGCATCGTGGATCACATTTGCCACAGCGGCGCTAGAGTGGCTAGATCTCGCGGGTCTAGCAACTATGGAGTAATAGCCACCCCGTATAGGTATGGCCATCTGTCTTACTACTTCCGACCCAACCTTGGAAGCTCTCTTTATTGAATGTTAGCCGATCTAACCAATCGGACCTATGTAGCGCCCAAGGTGCATCTCAGCCAGAGGCAATAATATAATCCCACTGTCAGCCACAGCGCCCAACTCCTCTCTATCGGCTATGATGGAAATGTTCCGAGAGCCCTACAGTCAGGCGACACTTTTTTTAGGTTTTGATTAGCATTGCGAAGCACCAAGTAGATAATGATATGATACATGATTCTGGAATTTCCCCATCAGCCTAAGCACATTAGCGTGCATGTGTTCTGAGATCAGCACGAAAAGATCTGGGATCTTGCATTTTTACCGGGGATGCACTAGAATATGCGCTGGCATCTCAGCTGAAAAGATCCCTAATCTCAAATCACAACGGAGTACAATAAATCCGAGCTGACGGATACGTACATTGCCTATAGCGTGGTCGATCTGCTCCCGAGGTCTAGGCTGAGCTGTCATCTACGGGATCCACTGCTTGAAGATGCTGATCAAAGGGAAGGAATTCGAGATAATAATGTGTTTCATGTTCTGAAGGTGAAGGGATGTTTTTATTTTCCAGCATGGAATACGGGATAGATATAATATAGATGAAATGCCTTAACACGCGTTCCCTGGAGGTCAGGGCTTTTAAATTTTCCAAGTGGGGGGGGAGGTATGTATCTGGACTGGTCATTTCTAAGGGTCGGATGTAGAATATTCTATTATTTCAAATGGACATGAGCAATGAAGCAATATCAATAAGTTCTTCTACTAGTATGGAGTACATATTTATAATTTACATAACTTTGAAAGTTACAGAAAAGAGAGAAAAAAACAAGAAAAAAACCCAAAAAAACCCAAAAAAACAGTTGATCCATGGATGATGACATTGCCTCTCCGAGCCTTGGAACCATGGAAGAGACCGTTTTGATTGTCCAGGCCCTCTATTAAATACATCCGTCTCAGCCGTCTGAACCGACCTTTTTTATAACTTCCATCTCTCCTTCCTATAAATGTGAATAAGAGTTTCAACATATTCGCATACCACATTCCTCCCCGCATTCGTGGATCTCACCGGATACCTCTACCAACTGGAAGCATTCCCGCATTCAGAATCTGTCGGGATTCATGCTGTTCGCGGCGTGTTTCACATAGTGCCTTGTGTATAGAGTGCGCCTTGATCAGCTTCTCGCAGCGCAAAGCACATCCAAACTTTTGTTACTTCTTCAATTACCTATAATAACCTTCAAGTATCTTCTGTCTGGCAACCACTCGCCATGCCTCCAAACCGGTGGGAGAAGACCAAGAGCATTTCAAAAAAGGGCTTCGACAAAGCATGGGATACCGTCGACAAGCTCGGCGGCCCCGTCAACCGCTTATCCCACAAACTGGGAGCTGAAGCCTTCTGGCCCATGACGATTGATAAAGAAGCCGATAAAGCCGCACGCATCCTGCGCAGCTTCTGCAGAGATGGATTCTATGCTCCCGATTCCTCAACCGGCACCGATGAGAATGGCAAGATCAATCGCCCCACGGGCAAGCAGCGCGTCATCCAGAAAATCCCAGCAAAAGTCCTCAAAAGGGCCAAGGGAATCGCCATCTTCACGACCATGCGCACAGGTCTGTGGGTGAGTGGCTCTGGCGGCAGTGGCGTGCTGATCGGTCGCCTCCCCGACACCGGCGCATGGAGTCCGCCATCTGGTATTATGTTACACACGGCCGGGATAGGCTTCCTCGCTGGCGTTGATATTTATGACTGCGTGGTAATAATCAACACCTATGAAGCGTTGGACGCATTCAAGAAATTCCGCTGCACGGTCGGCGGCGAGGTCAGCGTAGTTGCGGGCCCTGTAGGTGTCGGTGGTGTCCTCGAATCCGAGGTTCACAAACGTCAGGCGCCAATTTGGACATATATGAAGAGCAAAGGGCTGTACGCAGGTGTCGCGATCGACGGCACTGTTATTATTGAGCGAACTGACGAGAACGAACGCTTCTACGGCGAGCGCATATCCGTCGACGAGATTCTCTCCGGCAAAGTTCGGCATCCACCTCGCGAGCTCGATACCCTCATGCAAACCTTAAAGGCCGCGCAGGGCGACTCTGACGTTGACGAGAGTCTCATTCCGCCACCAGGCGAAACACCTGGCGATATGGAGCTGACGGAAGACGGTCAACATATCTTCGGCGTGCCGGCTGTGGACGATCCCGATCCGTATGGAGTGAAGGCGCTGGAGGCGGAGGGGCTTTTCATTCGCGAGGCCGGCACAAAAGTAAGACCAAGCTATGAGACTTTTGAGTTTCGCCCCAACCTGGACAGTCCCGTTTATAGCACTTTCTCGCGGCGCAGTATGGATAGCTCGCCGCGTAATAGCTGGCGCGCCAGTGTGCAGAGCTCCAAGAGTTATGCTAGTGTCGACCGTGGCACGCAGACTGATGACGCCCCGCTAACTGAGCCCACATCAGTGAGCCGTGCAACTTCTCCCAGCACGAAGGGATCGCCTATCGGCCGTCCACCGAAGAGTGTCTGGAACGAAGATGAGGATTCCGCTCAGTGGGATACGATTGCTATTCACGACAATGAAGAGCACGCGAAGGTGCGGCAATTGGAGGGCCAGGAGGCGGAGGATAGAAGAGCGAAAGCAAACGCCTGCGAAGATTTGCACGATGATCCCGAGCTTGACGATGACGACGAGCACTTTGAGGTCCACGAGGTTAGCAATGCCAAGATCACAGCAAGGGAGAATATCCCGGCCTCGCCCACGAAGGTGGAGGACCAGACGACAAATGGTGAAACAAAGGCTGCGTCGCCGACCTTCACCCGCGCTCGTCTGGTCACCATCCCGGCCCGCACCCCACCTACCTTGCCTCCGCGGCACCCACGCCATATTTGGGGCTCTGGCTCAAGCCGTGCTTCAACATCGCCTACGGCTCTCTCGCGTTCAAGCCGTAATACCTCACGCACAGACGTCACCGAGTCGGCAGACAATCTCGAACATGTGGATGAAACCTCGCACGTGCTTCCATCCCCGCAGAAGGCCAAGAGCTCTTCTAATATTCCTGCCACGAGCGACGATGAGGAGTTTGTTGACACAAAATCGGAGCCTCCGGCCGAGAAGGACGAGTTCCACTCTGTCAATGGCGAGTCGCAAATCGAAGATTACATCGTTACCCTCGAAGACCACACTGCCACCGAGACTGCTGAGCAGGGGGGCAAGACGGACAAAAAGGATGAGAAGGAAGACGAGATGAAACTCGAGCCTGAACAATCTCCTCAGCCCATGAAGTCTCCCGACGTTCCCAAGCTTGCACCCAATATCGAGGATACCCCGGAGGTCGAAGAGACCCTCGACAAGATTGAAGCCAAGCTTCAAGCTGAGATTGACGAACCCGAAGGACACAAGTCTGAAAGGTCATATTCACACATCGTTGCTGACCGCGAAGAACACGAAGAGTCTCCTGGTGGGACTGAACTCGATACCACCTTGCCCCATGCCAGGGCTGAGTGATCTTGGATTTTGGTCACCAGCTGTTTCTACTTCGTCTTTGCGTTTGCCTCAGCCTTCTCGTTTCTATATTTTTCGACACAAACCTTGTCACGATACCTCATACGCGTTTTATACACATCTGACTCGTTTCGGAGTTCTTGGAGGCTGCACCTTTCTACACTTTTCCCACCCTCATCTCTCACCTCCAAAAAAAAGGGGTGGTTATGTTACTGGTTTCCTGCCATTGATTTTAGCGTGTCTGCATTATAGCGAGTGGGAGGTATTTGTTTTTTTTTTTTTGTTCCTGGGGCAGGTGCTGGAAGTCTTTGGGTTCCTTGCTCTTTATTTGAAGGGTTCTCGCTCAAGTTGCATTATATCCCGTTTCCCGGACTTGGAATACACTCATTTAGACATTAATCTTCTACGTTTTATCTCCGGCTTTAGTCAATTATATTCTTCTACGCCAATGATTTGCTGGGATACTATTTCTATTGTAGCTTTCCTGTCATGGGTCTGGAAAATAGCCCTAAATTAGACGTTTCATGCCAAGTACCTAATTTTCTGCGAATCTGCTATCCTTTTCATTCTATGAAAATGGAATATCGTTCTACATATAGCCGTCTTGCCATTAAACGGTGGGTCTGTCCCCCAACACAGAATTTTTTCACCTTTCAATTTCACCTATCTATAAAACCCAGTAGTATCTACTCCCACGAGCTGCACAGGCTGTTACGTCCTCCGCCGAGATTTTGGCAGATATCCGTGTGGACGAGTATCAGGAATCCCTTGTTGAGATGATAAATGGATGTCAAATACTGTTTAATACGATGAATCAAGTATTAGATTTAGCAAAATCATGTCGCTGCAATATGTCACTAGTTAACGGAGCGCTTTTCCCAACACTTAGCCCTGTCAACATTGCTTGATTAGCCATTGTATCTTTGATAGTTGCCGCTAGTCTCCATAACTCTTCCCTCGGTCAATAAGTCCCCGAGATCCATAGCGTGGTTCTCGTTCCTTTCCTGGATTGCATTAGCCAGGGTGACTCTGCTCATACAAACATGGTGTGATCTCGGGTAATTCGGACTAACGATCTTTGGCCGTGAGCCTTCTCGGATGCATCCATGCAGGGATCTATCATATTTCAGTAAGTTACACTGTAGCGTAAAAAGCCTCCCCCTGTCTCTTTTGGATGAAACTTGCAGTTTCAATTTCTAATCAAGGCCATGAAAGCTCTCAAAGATTTCACAATACAGTGAAAATTCACATCTGGAATTCCAAGCATAATCACATGGTATATCTGAAAGCCTTGTCCTCCAAATCGGTACGATCGGAATCCACTGAAACCCCCGGGTGGCCATAGGCACCTCCCTCCCTATCAACCATATAGACAAATTGCCCCTCGTTCGCCTTGTAGTCACGCCTCTTGTTCTTGGACTTGACCATGGATGCGTAGAGAGCAAATGTGAAAATCAAGCCAACCATTGCCGCAATACTCAAGATACACCCCTTTTTATAGCGAGGAGCGTCATCCTCCGTCCAGGCCTGAGGACTGACAATGCAACCAAGGCAGTACGCAATAAAAAATGCGGCTGAAACAATACTCTTCTTGGTGTTTCCCTTCACGTTGCTGGCAATAATACTGGCTGCACTGCTTAGCAAGGAAGAGCTGCACCCACCGAGCCACGTCGCGACCACAATGCCCCAATCGGCTCCTTCAGCCGGGAGAGTCATGAGCAATATTGCTCCTAAAAGAGGCACAAAGCAAAGTCCGATAGCTGTATATATCCGAGTTCCCGGAAGCAAGCGCGGAACAAGGGCGCTGGTCCACACCGTGATAAAGTTGAATACTCCAGCTGGCGTCCCGATGAGCATGGTCGTGTATGTAGAGTAACCGAATCCATGTATGACGGTAGAGCTGAACTATAAAGCAAGCGATAATGTAAGTACTACACCATGTAATTTAAACAAATGGGTACTGCGTACCTTCATTATTGGGGTCGTCAGGGTGATACACAAGCTGATCAGACAATAAATCCATGTCATGGGGGAGAGAAGCGCCTCTTTGACCTGGGATCTATTGAATTCCGCGCGATCCCGGGTCGCGCGGTCAATCGCCAAACGCTGAGTTGCGACTTCTCGTTCACGGTGATTCAGGAACCAAGCGGTTGTAGTGTCTCTGGGCATCAATAAGATGAACAGCAGGCCAGTAGCGGAGGTGAGACCACCACAAATCAAAAACAGACTGCGCCAGGGAGCGAGAGACAAATTACCTCGTGCGATACCATACATCATGAGAGGGCCTATGATTTGGGATATACCGTTCATTGATACCCATGTGGCGACCCGAATGGGGTGTTCCTGGCGTTTGTACCATATACTGGTGATAATAATAAAGGCCGGGGAAACGGTTCCTGGTCGCCAGATTAGATCTTCAACGAAAGAAAGGTAGCCGGGGTTCATGCCTTCAGAGAAACCTAGGAAGAATCGGGCTGCTGCCAGGCCCCGGAAGTCCTGGACGGCGGCCAAGCACATGTTCACCCCACCCCAGATCACAATGGTAACCCCGACGTAGAGGGTAATGGGCAGCCTAGAGAGCAGAACCGCAGCCGGATACTCTGAGCATAACTGTCCGATATAGAACAGCGAAACAGCCCAGGAGAACTGTCCACCTGTTAGGTTGAGATCACTCCGAAGACCGAATATGGCAGCCTGGTTGATAGTCTGTTTGTCAAGGTCTACCGCTATTGTTAGGAAAGCCTGATATCTGTTGGAATGGACTAGCAGGCAGACATTGGAAAAAATACACCAATGCCATCAGTGGCATGATAACACCGTCGAGTTTCCACACGACTTTGCTCTCCTCTTTGGGCTCAACGTCGTAGAACCGTGTGTCCGGGACAATCTCTAGCTTGTCTACTTCAGCACCACCCGGACTGCAATGGGCCTTGTCGGGGCCAACTTCTGAACTGTCCTGGGCCATATTGGGGGTCGTTCCTTTTCCGGTGGCAAAATGAGTAGAGATACTAGTCTCCTAGGAATCAGAACTAAAGACCCATAGCAAGCCAGATGGATACTTAAATAGTAAATTCGACATCGGGAGGGGGTTGAGAGGAGGGGTTGAGAGAGCTCTCTTCTCTTCCCCATGCGGAATGCCATCGCATTTTCCATACTTTTCTTTCCTTTTCGAACCGCCTATATCGGCAATATATGAAGATGCCGATGTATTGGAAGTTAGCTTAGGCTACTTAGCCTATCCAAGTACGGCTCCTCCGCTCTCGGTCCACCTTCACCCCCGCCTGTAGGGCCTCGACCACACACCCCATGAGGTTTTGCGATGAGAGTGGGCCAGAGAGTGTTATTTCTCCGCATTTCCAGCCATTGGGGTGAAAGGGCTAACTAATGTAGAACTTCTAGTTCCATAATGCTTTACCGTTGACATCAGACAGGCTTTTTGTCGAGCCCATCTCGGTCAAATGTTAGAACCCCGAGGCGGTAGGTAGTTGGCCTACTTGAACTATCGATCACAGGCCCCTGGGTGTTCCGCATTCAAAGACTGGCATGGAAGGTTGTTGGAGGCCGAATACCAAGCCCCTTCACTTTCCCTTCGCGACTCGCTCGTTCAAGGGCTACTTATAGTTAGACCTCTCAATAGCCCGCAAATGGGCCCAAGCCCCCGGCCCATGGCCCAACCCGCAGTGGGCTATGGGCTCAGTCTTCAAAGCCCAGCCAAACCCACAGCCCATTAATGGGCGCCCATCAAAAGCCCGTCAAAAGCCCATTTCTGTGCACAAATACAGTCTTGGCACTTATAAAGTAGCTGATTAATGGCTGTGTTTTATGCATGTACCAACCTGTATATTCAATTCCATCATATTATTATAGTAAGAAGTAAGAATTCAGTAGATATTATACTGATTTGAGCATTATGATACTAGATTTCATGCAAAATTTCATACAAAATCACCCTAAAAAGATCCAATTTGGGCACGAATTCGCACTTGGAGGATTACTAGTATTAGTATGAAGAGATATATATATTGGGTCTATAACCAGTAACCCCCCATAAACCCGAATTCCTCTCCGAAAGTGCAATATCAATTATAAATCAATTCTTAAGACGAAGTTCTAACTGATTGACGAAACGACGAAAGGCAGTTACAGTAAGTGGCTTCGTATAGCCGTCTGCAGCTTATAGTTATGTAGTAACGTATTTAAAGGTGACGTTACGGTAACCTCTTATCGAAGGAAGTGATAACGAACTATAATAGGCTTTATACGAGCATGAACACTAGTCTAGCATATATTACCTGTGTATTGTACCGTGCAGACTCGGTATTTGACAGCTAATCCCGTTGGGTCCTCACCTTGGTGGGTTGCCGCAGTGGAAACTCGTCGAATATGCGATTTCAAAGCCCTTGCTGGGGGACCCGACGGGATAGTCCTATGTAGTGGATATATAACCGCTCGTGGCTCGGGGTGGGACCACGACGAGGTACTGCATATTCTGCATACTCCGCACTCGACAGATTCACACGGCCATTGAGTCGACAGTCGACGGATATCCGTTTCATCGCCCATACCATCCATCTTGCTCCCGTGACAGCCAACCGATCCTCGCCTCTTTAACAGACGCAGATCCAAACATTGGGCGACCTGATCCAGCGAGTCAACGATATCCTCCAAAGAGTCCGGTCTCATCAATCCAAACCGCCGCGATGACCGTCCTCGTCCTCGGTGGCCGAGGCAAGACCTCCTCGCGCTTGTCCTCCCTTCTGTCTAACTCCGGCTTCCCCTTTGTTCAAGCATCGCGCTCCCAGTCCGAAGGCGGGCCCCATCGCCAATGTGCCTTCGACTGGCTGGACGAGACGACATGGGCGAACCCGTTCACCGCGGTCTACATGGTCGCCCCCCCCCCCCCCCCCCCCCACCAACTCACGGACATGTTCCCGCCCATGAAGGCCTTTATCGACTTCGCTAGAACGACAGGCGTTCGGCGCATCGTGCTCCTGAGCGTGAGCATGCTACCCCGGGGCGGGCCGTCCATGGGGTTGGTGCATAACTACCTCGCCGGCCTGGAGCCGGAGGGGGTCGAGTGGGCCGTGTTGAGACCGAGTTGGTTTATGGGTGTGTAGTTGTCCGTTTCGCTGCGTATCTCGTCCTGCTAACCGCGTGTATGTCCAGAAAACTTCTCCGAGCTACAACACCGCGGATCCATGGCCGCAGAGAACATGATTTACTCGGCCGCACAGGATGGAAAAATCCCCTTCGTCTCAGCCGAGGACATCGCCGCCGTCGCTTTCCGTGCCTTGACGGATCCAGTTCCACATAATACCGACCACGTCATCCTAGGACCCGAGTTGCTCACATATGACGACGTAGGTGAATACAGTCATATATCCATCACACTCATCCTCACTGCCCAGCAAGGGAGGAACAAATGTCAAAGACCGTCAATCTGCTGACCTTACCCGATTGCAGGTTGCGCAAATACTCAGCACCCTCTTGGGCAAGACCATCGTCCATGAGAAACTCTCGGAGTCAGATCTAACCAACCGCTTCGTCATCCAGGGTACACCGCTGGGTTACGCTAAAATGCTGTCCGCTCATGATACCGCGATCTCCCAGGGCGCGGAGGACCGACTGAATACGGTCATTGCAGACATTACGGGGAGAGAACCGAAGAGGTTCGTCGATTTTGCAAGGGAGAACAAAAGTGCCTGGCTTTGATCGGGAGCTTGAGCTTGAGCTTGGGCATGGAGAGCCGTGCCCAATTGTACCAGTCGTCATTTTAGAGATTAGGTGTCAGGGCCAACAGACAGGGTTGGAATCGAGCGTGGCAAGGACCGATGTTGGGGAGTGGGGGTTGCCACCATAGCGAGAAAGATAAGTAGAATCCAATTGATCTAGGAATGTTGATATAAAAGGGATTAAATTATTGTTGAGTGGGGCCCCACGGGGTCTGTGTGGGCTTGTCACGACTACCACACGGGTTCCGAACGTCAACGACCTGTCCTCTCAACCGTACTGTTGCCAAACAGGCTTTGATGCAGGGTCCTTTTGAGGTATCTAGGAATGATGCCAGGTGAAGCGCCGAATAGATCTATACCGGGGTATTGTGACAGAAGTCTGACTGTATGAAATGTATGGTATGAACTCAGTATATGGAACTCTCTGTATTTCATACAGCCAGGCCTTTGTCAATTTGTAATGATAGAACATGCTGACGAACCGAGGAAAAGAAACTATAGTAATTACGCGACTGAGTAATCACTCGAAAGTTCGTTGGGCTTCGGCCATAGCGTTTAGCAAAGCCGAATAGTTCCATTTATGTGCAAGTGTAATGATGGGGTTAGTATAGCAGGCAGTAATAATGCACACTACATAGGTTCAGATCCTTTTTTTGCCCAGACTGGCGGCCCTGTTTTACTGAACCCCACAAGGAGACTCTTCCCTATGATTAGACCTGGCTTGGACTTGCGGGTACCCTCCACGACCCTGACCCGCACCTCTTTATGATCTGGGCGAGGGTTGTCAAATATAATGAATAGGTTAAAAACGTGACTCGAGGTTAATTATATAAATTATGTAGAAATGGGCTATATTCTCTTATAATTGTAAACCAAAAATTTATTACACTGAGGTTGTTAAATATCAAGTTCCTCGTACCCTAAATGCAGCCGGTTATGAAGGACAAGGGCAAATTGATAGATGGTATTACGCTTCTGCTTCTGCTTCTGCTTCTACATCTACTCTTCCTCCCACCATAGAATATTTGTAAGTGGGTTAGTATTCGCGGTGGTCTCCGTAGGGCCTATAGTCACAGATAACGTTAACTTTCTTAACGTCACCGGAACTGTCTTCATACATCTGGGAACGGCGGAGTGCGACACCATAACTATAGCACCGAGCAAAGGCATTGATCTCTTAGTATGTAATCAGGGGGGAAGCATATTGATTTATAGGCGAGGAAAGCATCACGGTATAACCACCAGGATCGTCAACTTTGCCGTCGAAATCAGAATCGACGTCAGAGTCATTTTCACGGTCGAAATCAGAGAATTCGGCAATGGCATTGGTGGGGCTAACTAGCCCATATTCATCGGAAGAGAATGGTGGTAAAATCGAGGATGAAGTCATATTTAGAGGTGACGTATTTAGGAACGTATGTAGGAGAGATCTGATGCAGTGTGACTAGATATCGAGTAGTCCATACTAATTACTATACCATACGCCAAGGAATACTAGCCTAACCCTGCAATTAAACCCCAATAGGCAGTCCAAGATTGGCATCCCAATGCAGTAATAGGCTAGTCTATAGCTGATGAGGGACTCGGTATAGAGATATCCCCCGGCAGACTGTATCCTGTCTAGCGCATATAGTATTTGAAAAAATCTCAAGGGTTCGTTATGCTTCAGTTTTGGGTTTCTATTGACGACTCACCTCGTCATCGTCACAGGCACGACAATTTGAAAGCACATAGCATATTCCTCTTCAGAGCAGTATGAATAGACCATGTAAGCTACTTCTGTATAGCTACGTTATATTGATGATGTTGCTCTTGGTTGAGAATCTCTCTTCGTTCATCTCAAAAATCTCAACTCCGTAATTGTTACTTCGACCACATGTTTGCAACACTTTCAATTCCAGTTTTCATGTTCAATTGGGACATGTATGCATCTCTGAGTCGTCCTTCATTTAGTCAGACTGTAAATTATCCCACAATTAGTATTGACAGCTTGGGTTGTCTAGGCATATTCCAAAATTACCACAAAAGACAACGCGGTACGGGGACATTTGCGATCACAATATAGGCGTCTAGTCCGTTGTTGCAGCGGTCAAAAATCCAATGTGGGTTAGGGCCATGTACAGCAGCCACTGATGTATGCTGGCCTTCTTCCTCTTGGCGTTACCAAGTACCCCGTCTTTTAACTAGCCCGGCGCTAGTCCCGTGTGCCCCAATTCCTTCTGTCTCCTCATTTTCATCTGAGACGGGCCATTCTTTTGCAAATATTTTTACTTTGAAGTTTTTTGCATTCCCTGAGCAACTTTGGAATATGGCCAGTCTATTAGCACTGGGAGTAGGTGGCTTGGTAATATACATTGCCGTCAAAAGCATCTATCGGCTGTACTTTCACCCTCTCAGCAAAATTCCAGGGCCCAAACTTGCAGCTATCACAAGCGGCTATGAATTTTATTTCAATGTGATCAAGGGAGGAATGTTCATCTGGGAGATGGAGCGGCTACATGAGATATACGGTGATTTATACCAGGCACACACAGTATCATCAGTCTAATTTTTCATGAGGTCCCATTATACGCATTACCCCTCTTGAGGTGCATATCAAGGACTCTAGCTACTACGATGAGATATATGCCTCTAGTAAGCGCAAACGTGAAAAGTCCGCTTCTTTGGTCGCTCGATTTGATCTCGACGATACTGCATTTGCTAGTATCTCCCAAGAAGACCACCGGAAGCGGCGTTCACACATTGAGAGACACTTTTCAAAGCAGGCTGTCTCCAACATAGAGGATTTGATATATGAAAATATTGACAAACTCGACAATCATTTCAAGCGCGCCTTTGAATTCCATAAAGTCATTGATCTCGATGCTGGCTTTGCTGGACTGACTTCCGATGTCATTCACAAATATGCCTTTGGGTTCAACAGTGGGAATCTTGACCACGATGACTTCAACGCGAGTGTGAGGGACGGAGTCAACGCACTGTTCAAATTCAGCCACATCATGTACTTTTTCCCGGTCCTTCAAACTATCATGGAATCGCTTCCATTGTGGTTGCTCGAAAAGCTTGACCCATTCGCGTATGCACTAGTGAGCCAGAAGTTGGACCTTCTGCGTCGGACAGAGGAATTCCTGCAAAGCGAGCCGACAAACTCGAAAAATCGCTCCGTCATGGAAGTTATGTGCGGCCCCAGTATGCCGAAGGATATGCGCGGCGCTGTTCGTCTCAGCAATGAGGGATTTTCTATGATCATCGGTGGCACCGAGACAACTGCCCGATCGCTATCTATTGCAGCATTTCGCCTCTTGGAAAATAAGTCGATCAAAACCAAGTTGCGAGAGGAACTGCGGACGGTGATGCCCACTCCTGAGTCCCGACCAACATGGAGGCAGCTTGAACAGCTGCCATATTTGGTAAGTCCTCTTTTCCATGGCTGATAATGCGTCTTTTGGTGGTCTTATTGTAGACTTACGACTAATTATCCTCACTCTATAGTCTGCATTTGTTTGGGAGATATTACGTGTGTCTACTGGAATTTCAAGCCGATCGGCTCGGGTCGCACCTGATGAAGCATTGATCTACAAGGATCACACCATTCCTGCTGGAGTATGTGAAGCCATTTTTGCTAGCTCCTATCTCATAATGTATATTGACATTAAAATTTAGACACCAGTCAGTGAGACCAACTATTTCGTTCTCACTGACCCCGAGATTTTCCCCGATCCGCATACCTTCGACCCAGACCGGTGGCTACGGGCCGCTGCGAAAGGGGAACATCTGGATAGATATATGGTCAATTTTTCCAAGGGCAGTCGGATATGTTTGGGCATGAAGTATGTCACTCGAACCCCTCTCCTCCCATCACAATCTCTAATCGACTCAATATTGCAGCTTGGCCTATGCGGAGCTATTTCTTGTACTAGCGACTTTTATTCGTCGGTTTGACATGGAACTGTTTGAGACAAGCGAGAAGGATATTGCTTTTGCGCGTGATTTTGGAACCCCATATCCCGATGAGGGAAGTGCCCGTGTGCGAGTTATGGTTACCAAGGTGATCGAGGAGTGAGTTCTTTTCACCAGAATCCATCAATTTCAATTTGCAAGAAAAATGCCAAAGAAAAAGGATAACAACACTTGTGTCCAAACCTGAAAAGATGAGCTATATTATGACAATGAGTATCGAAAGGGGTTCGACACATGGACAGAACAAGAATGCATGCCAAGGTGTACATACCTAAATAGGAAGGATGTCAAAACATATCTCCGTACTAAGTCCGAAAGCTTGTGCAACTTTATTTTAGAAGCCCAGACATGGAGGACACTCTTCTCCTGCAAAAGAAAACACCTCTAAGATCTCATCCTTTCGTCACATCCTTCGACAATTCAAGATGCCTTCGGATAACCACGTCAAAGCGGCCTTTTCTCTCATCGAGGACAAGACAAAGGTCCTTGGCTTGACTATTGGTATCCATGAGAACGTGCAGCCAGGAAAATGGCTTCCTCGCAATGGTAAGGACCAGCCCACTCCCTGACCTCGTCTCCTCTTCTCTTTCCAACTCGTGTGACAGACAATTGAACTATTAACTGACAAACCTTCCAGAGGCCCAAGAGCTCCCGAAGCTTTCCTTTGCCGGCGCTAACCCCACCAGCACCTACCTGGTTGTGAGCTTAGACATTGACGCACCTTTCCCCTCTTTCGTGATCCTGAGCCCCATACTTCACTGGATCCAGTCCGATATCAAGGTCACCAGCGAGGGTGCACTCAAGTTCGATGCGCCCTTCGTCGCCAATTACATCGGCCCTGCTCCCCCTCCTATCAGCGCACCCCATCGGTACCTCTTTCTCCTGTACGAACAGCCTGAAGGCTTTGATCTCACGGCCTATGCACCTGCCGGTGGCAAAAATGTTAGCAATTCGAATCGCATGCGGTATGATCTTGATGCTTGGGCAGAGGAGATCAAGCTTGGATCTCCTGTAGCTTTCAACTATTTCACCTGCAACTAGTTGGTTCCTTGTCAACGTCAATCGGATTCGTGGTTTGATGAAGTTAGAAGGGTGATATGGTGTTTCTTGTGGTGGTTTCTATTTTCGAATCTAGAGGGACAGCCTGATCTCACCAATTGCTATCCAATGGATGTTGCTGTGCTTTGGTTGGAAATTGATCAACAAATTGCAATCTCACCATAAACTGCTTTCCTGCAAGTATTAGAAGATACATTTTTTAGCTTCTGCTATTTGACTGTGATAGATGCAGAGAAGCGTTCTCGATAAGCCACTCGACCTAGGCTAGATGTTTTGGGGTAGATGATTTACATTCCTCCGCCTCAGAGGAGAAGTCTGGGGGTCTGAAAGAGGTATATGACGATGTCTTTGTTGGTTGTTTGTTTGACAATGCCATTATCGTGGTGCGCCAATGGTTTAAAAGGGCAACCAGCTTCATCTACAACGATGTTCTGTATTTAATTTTATGCGTACTTCCCTTTATCTTTGGTTCTCTTTTGAATGCCCTCATAGAGTTACAAGTAGTACCAATATTTTTCATCGGGCAGAATGGCTTCCAACGAACCCATAGACAAGCTAACCGGCGATATGAAGGGGTTGGTCATCGGTGCCAGTGGGACAATCCCTGGATATCAACATGGTATGTTTTTCCCCATGGCAAAGTAAAACCAAACAAAGGAGAGGGAGTTTCTAGATATAATTTGATGAGTGACACCCGGTTATCTAGGACAAATCAAGCGGCTGGTCGAAAGATGTGGTGCGAAGTTTGCCGCGATGAATATTAGTGAATGTACTCATCTGGTGACGACAGAAAATTATCTCAAGAGAAAGTCGAAAAAGAGTTAGTATCATCAAGTTTCGCATCCCCTGATCGAAGCGTCAGCTAACGGGATGATTTCGTTTCAGTCAATCGGGCTCAGGAACTACACGATTGCGAAATTGTGGACATGGATTGGCTGCTCAAGAAGATCAAAAAACATCTTCCGGAGAGTGTTCAGAAGGACATAATGAAGGAGAAAAACAAAGACATCAAGGCCCAAGGCAAAAAGCGTGAGCGAGAATCTTCGCTTGTGGACGACGAAGGCGGCCCTTTGAAGAAAACGAAGGATGAAGAACAGATCAACCTCATGCTTCTGATCGAACTGGTTGACAAAAAATACCCAAAACCGAGTTAGTAATGTGGAATGATATTCTCACTTGGATGTCTAACACTTTTTTAATATTAGATACTACGCTTTCCGTTTGGCAGGACGATGCAGGATTGATATGGAATGCCACGTTGGTCAGAGATGGTGTGAAAAAACAAGTCGAAGTTTTGCGTCTCCAACTGCTCGTTCATCGCGAGTCACAAGCGTTCCACGCCTGGAGCTTGCAGTACCAATTTGGATCATCTAAGGAATCAAAAGTAGTTGGAAATGTGGGAACCCTTGAGTCGGCCAAGGATACGTTTGAAGAGACGTTCAAGCTGTTCAGTGGTCTAGTCTGGGAAGACCGACATGGTATTCCCACTTCGAAAGGCTGGATTTTTCTTGAAATGCATCATAGGGAGGTTCCCATCCTCTCCACCGAGGTCAGCTTGTTGCCTGCAAGCGTTGAAAATGTTCTGAAAATCATCTTCACAACAGGAAACTTGAAGAGCTATCTCAATGTGCTAAACAGTCACGGGCGGAGTGTTTCTTTTATGAACGAAATGGACAAGAATAAGCTCCTAATTGGGATTGCAGTTTTGGGCAAGCTGACGGAACTCACAAACCCTGAGCTGGCGCCTGGCAAACATTCTAAAGTACAAAAGAGATTGTGCAAGATCTACGAAAGCCTGGTTCTCACAAACCGGACCTTTTCTGGCGCCAATGACACCGTCAGACAGGAACTAGAATCACTCGAACTCTTACTCAAGTTGCGTGATGCTAGCCAGATTCTGGAAAGAAATTCCCAGTCTGCCTCATTAGCCATGAGCCAAATATCCCAAGTACTTGGTCTGGCAAAAATGCTCCCAGGTATCTCGTCTTTTGTGCCTTCCTGCTCTAATTTATTGCATCTTTTTCAGAATACCAAAGTATGAAGCTGACCTTGTTGACAGTGAGGGGAAACTCGACAGAGTTCCAGATGCTCCGGGAGTATCTTGAAAAGTCTTCAAGCCCAAGCCACCCGTATCAATTCCAGGCAAGCTTTGCTCAAATCACGCTAGCAGAAGCCCAGGCTAACGCTCTCACCTTCCTAGGAGGTCATCGGCGTGTTCCGTCTCGAACGTCCCGGCGAAGCAGAGCGTTTCGCCCAGTGGGAAAAGGCAAACCTTGCTAAAATTGGAGACCGGCGACTTCTGTGGCATGGTTCGATGTCTAGCAACTTTGCAGGGATCTTGACTCAAGGGCTGCGTGGCGATGGAATTGTCAGTACCGATGGGAAGCACTTCGTTCCTGGGGTATTCTTTGCCGACATATCTACAAAATCGGCAGGGTATTGCCGACTGAAAGGGGAAGCCTTGATGTTGCTATGTGAAGTCGAGCTGGGAAAATCCTCGGCGCTTTCCCGTAAGGTTATTGGCGGCACTATTCATAGAGACTGGCGTGATGCTGGGTATATTCACCCAGATTTCAAGGGGTCCAAGGTGCCAGATGTTCAGGCCGGAACAAGGACTGATAGCGACACCCCGAATCTTTACCACTCTGAGTATGTCGCAAAAAGTCCAGCGCAGATTCGTCAACGGTACTTGTTCCATGTCAAGATCGTTTGAAATATGAAGGACTTTTAAGGCGAAGATATTTGGGGTTTCATTTGGGAACTACAGAATGTTGAACTTTTCCTATCCCAAGGTGTCTAAATTTATGCTAGTGCAATATAACGTTAAAAGTTCTCTATTTTTATGATCTTCTATCACAGATATCGGGTAGTAAATGATGTATATGTTCAAATTTGTATGGGTGAAAGATAGCTAGGGCATTGAATATCAGGTGGTATTTGTTGTCTTGGCACTTCCAAGCCTCCCGAGGTCCCCTCATCCCGCTTACACTTAACTTACTATCTACGATTCATAGATGCCCATACATTTTCTCGTAGCTCTTCTCTCCAGTTCTTCTTTTGCTGTCCCCAATTTTCTCAGGTTATGATTATTCTGTGGACCGCCGCTCTGGCAGCAACTGCCGCGGCGCAGTACTTTCCGCCCATACCAGATGGGGTGAAGGTAGTCGAATCGCAGCATCAAAAGGGTGTGAAGATTTCATACAAACAGGTGCGATTCCTTTCAAAATTTCTATCCGAAGATGGTATGGTCGTCCTCATCACATAATCTTGTACTGATAAATTACATAGCCTGGGGTCTGCGAAACAACTCCAGGGGTGAGATCGTATTCGGGCTACGTTCATCTACCCCCAGGCTCTCTGGACGATGTGAATGTTGATCAAGACTACCCGATCAATACTTTCTTCTGGTTTTTTGAGTCTCGTCATAACCCAAAGAATGCACCACTGTCCATATGGATGAACGGAGGTCCTGGAAGTTCCTCTATGATTGGCCTCATGCAGGAAAATGGACCCTGTATTGTCAACGAGGATTCCAATTCCACAGAGCTCAACCCTTGGTCCTGGAATAACTATGTCAATATGCTGTACATTGACCAGCCAAACCAGGTCGGTTTCAGTTATGATGTCCCTACCAACGGTACCTTTGATCAAGTCCAAGGTGCCTGGAACTTGTCGGAGTGGGCGGGGGTGCCCAAGCAGAATAACACATTTTATGTCGGCACGACGGCTAGCCAAGATAAGTCGACGGTAGCCAATAGTACCGCGAACTCCGCGCGGTCACTGTGGCACTTTGCTCAAACCTGGTTCACCGAGTTTCCATATTACAAGCCCCATGATGACCGGGTCAGCATCTGGACTGAGTCATACGGCGGTCGCTACGGCCCATCTTTTACTGCTTTCTTCCAAGAGCAAAACGAAAAGATAAAAAATGGCAGCATCGATACCCCGGGGGCATCACACTACATTCACTTGGATACACTAGGCATTATCAACGGCTGCATCGATCTCCTAGTACAGGAACCAACATACCCAGTAATGGCATACAACAATACCTACGACATTCAGACCATCAACAAAACCGTATATGATAATGCCATGGAAGCATGGAGTCGCCCTGGTGGATGCAAAGACCTGATCATGCACTGTCGCGCGCTGGCCGCAGAGGGCGACCCGCAAATGTATGGCAACAATGAAACCGTCAACAAAGCGTGCCACAATGCCGACAAGTTCTGTAGTAACAACGTCGAAGGTGCATACGTAGAATATTCGGGACGCGGCTACTACGACATCACTCACAAGAACCCAGACCCTTTCCCACCATCCTACTACTTGGGTTGGCTGAATCAGCACTGGGTACAAGGCGCATTGGGCGTCCCGATTAACTTCACTGAGTCAAGCAACGGTGCCTACAACGCTTTCAAATCTGTCGGAGACTATCCGCGTTCTGACGTGCATGGTTACCTCGAAGACCTGGCGTACGTGCTCGACTCCGGTATCAAGGTCGCTCTCGTCTACGGTGACAGCGACTACGCTTGCAACTGGATCGGTGGCGAAGATGCCAGCTTGCTGGTCAATCATGCTGGTGCTTCTGGTTTCCGGTCTGCTGGGTACACACCTCTACGTACGAATTCCTCGTATATTGGGGGTCAGGTCCGGCAGCATGGCAACTTTTCTTTCACCCGTGTCTATGATGCCGGTCATGAAGTCCCCGCCTACCAGCCACAGACTGCATATGAGATCTTCTACCGCTCGCTCTTCAACCGCGATCTGGCCACAGGCAAGATCAATACTGCGCGTAATGGCTCATATACCACACAGGGACCTGCGTCTACTTGGCATATCAAGAACAAGGTCCCGGAGAGCCCGGATCCGGTCTGCTATATCCTTGCTCTGGAGTCGACATGCACTGAAGACCAGGTTGCAAGTGTGGTGAATGGCACTGCCGTTATTCATGATTATATTGTTGTGGATGAAAAGTAGAGGTAGAATTCATACAAGCTTTATGCATACTATTGCTTCTCATGTATCTTACTGGCACATTCATAAGATGACATACATAAACGTGTATCCTTCTATAAGTAAGCTCTCGTGTGACCATATCCTCGCATGTTCGGCATCCAATTCGCTCTTCGCCTGCAGCCAAGGCACATACCTCGAAACATATCTGTACGGCAGTCTCCAACTGCCAGTGCGCCATAACCAATTTTGCCTGTAATATACTGTCTAATATGACTATTCCCTACATCTGAATACACTAATGTATTCCCGTGTTTTTTGGCCGTCTATCTACCTATAAAACTAAGACGGGGAAGAAAATATCTTGAAAGAAGCCACCTAAAAGCAATATCCAAACCTATCTGAAAGACAACTCAAAAGACTACTCAATGCTTAAGAGGCTGGTAATCCTTGTGATACTTGAACTATATATAGATTAGAAAACCGGCGGTGAGCCAGGTCAAAATTTACTATGGGAAAATCTGTTATGGCGCACTGGCAGTTGAAGACTGCCGTAATAAGTGGCCGGATGCCTCGGTGGGGGCTGAATCAATCCTAGAAGATCACGAATGGCACACAAGTGGGTGTCTCGCATGCTGAGCACGATAAGAGGATCCGGGGGTTTCACGAGCCATGACAGCCCTGTATTGCATCGCATGGACCTCGGGGGGTCCGCATCGTGTGGGTACGGCCCGAGCCGTTGTCGAACCCGATTCGACGGGTGCCCGCAGGTGGCGGCTCTGAAAACCGGGTCCCAGGTTTCCGCCAGGTAGTCTCCTGGTAACGTCTGAGAGTTAGCGTGTGTCTCGAACATGATCCTTTTACTAGGGTGTATGTACACCATGAAGTAATGTGACAACGCCAATGTTATCCGGTCCTCGTCAAATCCGAACACGAGCTCTCTTTGAAGAAATGCGTATGTGTCCCAAGGAGTACTCATCTTAGAGTCCAGTCATGTAATGAGCAGTTGCGCGTGTACTGCCTCTTGCTGGAAGCTACATATTGTAGGCATAAGTCGGCAGACAATCCCGGGTGGACAATCGGTTGAAACAATATGAGACTCCCTCATGAATAGGCTCACGGCCGTGAGATTGCGGTGAAGATAGTAAAGGTAAGAACTGCCTGATTAATAACACCAGAGTCTCAAGGAAGGCACCTTCCTAATCACCTGTGCCTTCCTATTTGGGATAACTCGTCACCTACCCAGTTCCCCCATTGCCTGCAGCCACTGGGATAATATAAATACCTGCCCCTTCCCACTTTCTCTTCTTTCTTCTTTTTCTTTCCTCAGTTCCCACTCGGATCTTTGCTGCGGCTTAGGTTAGGCTGAAACTAGGTTGGCGCTTCGGCCCCGGCCTAATGGCACGAAGTATGTTGTGGCTAGCCCCTATAACCTCTGCGGATACAGACTGTCCTTCCTTGAGTTCTCCATTGACCATTGGGGGCTTCCGACTCCCCCGCATCAAGACCCCATGGCCCCGCCTTCATTCTGCCCCAGCCTAGTTGCCCGGGACCTGTGTGCAACACATGAGCAAGACTTGCACCTTTACGTGGTGCTTAGGATGAGTAGCCTTTATGGTGAAACCAAGCAAGTCCTTATCTAGTACAATAGAACTTAGTATTAATCAGATGCTTCAATGTGTATGTTTTGTAAATGTCTCTGTAACCTGTGAGCTAGTAGTTTGACTTATGTGTAAACAACCTTGGCCTGGGATAGCTAAACCGCGTTTGACGCTACCTACGCTTCTAAGATTGCACTTGAAGCGCTTTGTTAAATCAAGCCTAGCTACAGTGCTTTCCAGGCCTATGTGCTTCTAGCTTTTATCTCAGGCTCCTGTCTTTGCGCTTGTCTTGTCGACTACGCGTTGCTACAACATACAGACACATCTCCATAAGCACCAGATCTCTCTTACATCACAGTGAGTATGTAGGGGCACCGACCAGTCCCCTATTCGGCCAGGCTCGGAAAATGTGGCACTGCGACAAGCATCTCCAGATGAAAACTGCTAACGTTGGATACCATAGACAACAAACCACTCTACTCCTAACAATCTGCAACGACTACAATGGCATCTCCACGCCAGTTTGGCTGGCTCGCAAAGCCGTTGCCATTTACAACTCCTCGACTGAGTCCAGCCAAGAAAGGCCGGTTGGTGACATACGATATCACTTCCGATATGCAGTGCCCGCTATTCGACCGGCTGCGGTGGTGCTTTGAGCTAGACTTTATGTGTGGATACCAATCTACATGGGGCATTCAAGATCAGAACAGGGATGGAGAACAGTTCTGCCAGGAGGACGAAGATGCAAGACGCTAAGTTCATGAGTCTGCATGGTGCACTTGAGTCAATGCCACATCCATTGCTTGGTTACTGACACTCGCTGACTTGGATTCTTACCACAACCAGGCCCTTTTCAGATTGTGACACTCACCCAATCCTCGCCCAACCCCCAAGAAACGAGAAATCGATGAACAAATCAAGCCTCCACCATGGATATGACTGGAATCAGTACCCAGCGGGTCCTGTGAAATGTCCATGGGCTCTCTACTGGACCTTCTTACAAACTGCTGGCTAAATATGCCATTGTGCAAGGAAAACGAGACGAAAAACCATGACTTGTGCAACATCTACCACTCCAATCCTAGCCATGACTTATGCAAAGCACCCTTATGTACAGATGAGACCACTCTTGTTCCAGAACCTGCATTTACTGACTGTGGACCCCTTCCGGCTGCAGGATCCCATTCTGAGGGTATGGCATATTTGTCAATTGCTTGGTTGGGCACTGGCGTGATATCTTTCGCATCCGGCCCTTCGAAAATGTTCTCTAAAGGTCCCGGATATCAATGGCGATTGCCCTCGTTTTCACAGATTCACAATCAAATCTTACTTCACTCTATCACTTTGCATCACACTTGTGTATACTGAAGTTCAATCAAATGGACAACCTACCTAGTTAGTAGGGAAGTTGCTTAGATTCGGACTTGTTGCGTAGACTTCTGGAAATCTAGCGTTATACATCAGACTGCTACATAGACAGTCCTAGTTGGAAAGTATTGGCAAATTAAAATACTACATTCCATATTTTCTATCCGAACATTAATGAAGTTGAATCATAATTGTGGCTCTAAATATACTAATATTCCATGCTTTAGAGATCATCAGCAAGAGTCTGGTAAAATGAGTACTCCGAGATCAAGAGTAAAAGTAAAAAAAGACGGGGAAAGGGCCAACGCTAGTGAATAAACCATTCAGCATCACATAAATCATTCTTTCTTATCATGCGCAGCCTCGACCCGTCTATTTCCAACGCCAGACGACCAAGCAACACGAACAAGCCGCCAAAGCACCCACATGAACCCAAGTAAGATAACCACACAGGTGCCAAACTCGATATATTTACCCTGGAAGTAGCTATCCCCACCCTCAATTCGTAGAACCGGTACATCGATCTCCTCAACAAGACGATCACCCGCGGGCTGAAGCTGGTAGAACATGGTTCGCGGACCGAACAAGCCGTCCCAGCCGAGATTTTTGCGGTCGAAGGGGTTCACACCCATCTTCGTGCCATCCTCGGTAGTACAAGCCCAGAAAACGACGGGCCAGGGAATGTGGGCAGTGCGGTGTCCTGTCTCGGAGGGTGGCAAGTAGCGCAGGTGCAGAGGAATAGTGGCGGTCCAATTTGAGGGGTCTGGGTTGCGAGCCGTGTCTTCAACTTCTGGTGGGGTTGCTAGTTCGAGAAGCCAGTTTGAGCCCCAGCGCTGAACAACCCAGTCAGGAGCTTCGAGGTCCATTTCGCCTGCTAAGGCACGCAGGGCTACGAGATTGTGTGACTCGAGGAAGAGTGGATCTGTTGTTGCAAGCTGGTATTGATCTCCGAAGACGGTGGAGGGGAGGGTGAGATATGTGTGTAGAGCGCAGGTTGCGTCACTGTGAGCTAGGGGTCGTTTGAGGGATGATCGGGGAATGGATATGGACATTGTTGGGTGTAGACCGGTTGGGGAAGCGAAGGAGACGGTGTAGCTCGATGGCTCGGTGAGAGGTTGGTGGCGGGAGGGGAATGAGAACATGGTTGGTTCTGTATAAAGGTTAGTTGAGCCATTCCCGATGCTCAGAGTTAGACAAGAGACAAAAGGCAAGCGATATGAGAAACGCCGGGGCCACATACTTAGCTTCTCGTCCTGTCCGACAACTGCTAATAGCCCGCCCATCTTAACCTCCTCTGGCTCAAGCCCTGCCTCGGCGCCCAAGAGACCGAACTCAGTTTGATCGGCAGCGGATGCTGGCTTCTGAAATTGATCCGTCCAACCGCCCGTCGGTGGACTGGTCCAGAGCCCGGACAAAGTTAAGGCGTGCGAAATGCTGTCATAGTCGATATCGACCGAGTCTGCAGAGAGGAGAGCATTGGCCCGATTGTGACACTCGGAGCCATCTGCACGATTCTGATCACAAACATTGTTCTGAATATATTTGACTAGAGACTGGAGGGAAGGGAGTTGGGTGTAATATTGTAGGGAGGCCGAGGAAGCGAATCGTGTCGAGATAAGCGGAGTTGTAATGAACGAATCCTGTACAGCAGATTTGGGTCAGATGGAACACATGCAGAACATGGTCAGGGAATATCCCCAGAGGAAAAGGAACAGTCGTGAAATACCTCCGGCTTCGAACAATCCTTATATTGAGCGTCTTTGTTGGGCGCAACTACCGTGCGGAGCAGCGTGCACAGTGCCTCCCTATCGATAACCAACTCAGTCAGTCGCATTTCCCCCAAACTCAAGATGTAGAAATAAGCTCACGAAGATGATTCCGAATTGAGCGGAGTATAATGCACATGTAGACCAGGTGAAACCCGGCTACTGAATGGCGCGACAGCATCAAAAGACTTCTCGGAGGCCCAGCGGAGGTGGAGCTCATGAGATTGCTCGAGGACAGCACGGAACTAAACATGACAGATAATCAGGTTAGCGTTGCTCTGCCCTCAAGCTCTTAAATCAACAATGCCCTCTCACCTCCTCTGGAAGCTCGTCCAGTCCGACCGTAATGCGATCCTCCCGCGCGGCGTCCAGGTCACGGACGGAGAGGGATGATGCGGTTAACACAGCTTGCTGCGGATCGAAGCCGGCATCGACGCGCTGGATGAAGGTGATTCTTTGTTTCATGGTTAAAAAAAATCAAGGGACATGGAGTGTCAGGAAAGTAAACAGAAATGACGAATTGATTTCTCCAAGGTGTTTCTCCGCATTCGCTAGATTAGGTTAGACTACAACTTATCCATATTACGTTATTTAGTCGATCTCAAATTGTACTTATTTATACTACACATATATGTAAAGACTTAGCTCTAGCTCAACTAGAAGAGCTTATCAAAGTAGCTCATACAAAGGTTCATGTCATTGTCATTAAATACCCCAACCCCGTCTCGGCCCAAACGCCAATTATATGCAATTAGATTAAATCATTTCAAGGAAGCACATCCCGGAGAATGTCTTTTTGTGAGGCTGTCAAGCTGGTGGGGAAGTTGACGTTGGCTCGGACAACCAGGTCCCCGCGCTCGCTGGGGTTCTTAGAGCTCACCATGCCTAGACCAGGGTAGCGCTCTTCGCGGCCAGGCTGGGTTGGACCGGGCTTAGACACGCGGATTGACTTTCCATCGATAGTGCGGACAATGCGATCCCAGCCTGTCAGTGCTTCCTTCAGGCTAAGGTCGACCGTTGTGATAAGATGATCACCAGAACGCTTGAAAGTAGGATGGTCGATCTGTTAAAAAATTGTTAGTGATAGTTCGTCAAATATCTTTGTCACTGTAGCCAGGAGCGAGCTCATACCTCTTTTACAATCAGATGAACATCCTGTCGTCCCCCTTCTTCCTGATCGCCAATGTTTCTGTACTTGATCTTCGAGCCAGCGCGCAGCCCAGGTTTGATATTGGCCTCCAAAGTCACCTCCTTGGTAGTGAGTTTGCCCATCTTGTCGAAGGCTTTGCTCTTTGTCTTGACCTTTTTGGAGGTACCAGTGTAAATTTCCTCCAAAGTTAGGGGGCAGGTCTTTCTCGATGATAGTCGGCTCAGGCGTAGGTGCGCGCTTCGGTTTCGCGTATCCCGGACGGCTGCTACGGAATCCGGCGCCGCCGCCGCCACCACCCAGCCCTCCTCCAAGCATCGAGATGAGCTCTTCCTCGTCCAGGTCGCCCATACCACCACCCATGCCGCCCCCGCCCCCGCCCCCGCCCGCCTTGGCAAAGTTGCGGAAGATGTCGTCAGCATTGCTGAAACTGAATCCACCACCACCGCCAGGGCCGGTCGAGAAGTGGAACGTCCGGGCTCCTCCACCGCCAGGCATGCCACCGCCGGGCATGCCGCCGAAGTTGAATCCTCCGGGCATGCCGCCGGCTCCGCCTCCGCCTCCCCCTGGTGGTGGCGGTGCGGGTCCGCCGCGCATCAGGTATTCGAGGCCGAACTGGTCGTAGACCTTGCGCTTTTCGGGATCTGATAGGACTTCGTACGCTTGCGATACGTCTGTAAAGAAACTATTAGTCATGTGTGATAATCCGAAATTATGCGGGGTAACGATACCTTTGAATTTATCAGCGGCATTGGGATTGCCTTTATTCTTATCTGGGTGGTGCTTCAATGCTGCCTTGTGGTATGCTTTCTTAATCTGATCTTGTGTGGCATCGGGCTTGACGCTCAAGGCGTCGTAGAGCTTGGTCTCGGCAACCATAGTGCGGGGTAAGATTGAGCCTTATGGGAAGAATAGGAAAAAGCAGTTACAAAAATGGTCGGCCTCAAATCAGAGGGACACTCTTATGAACGGTGATTTCTGACAGGAAAAATAATCCTGGGAAAGAGAGAAGATGCGGTGTAGTTCGTGAGTGGTGTAGAAGGTTCGAGGCGGAAAGGGAGGAATTATAGATTAAAGGAACCTTGCAAAACACAGATTTAAAGAGAGGAAGAGGAAATGAAGTAACAAAAGGGCCAAATCGAGTGTACTTGAATGTCGAATGTCAGTGATCAAGTCTCCAGGTGTGTGACGTCAGGATCAAGTCTTGACGTGTGCGACTTTGGAAGTTTCGAGAAGTTTCGATATTAATGCAACACCATCTCTTTAAGGCTACAGGTGCTATTCGTAGACTCATTGGCATTTTGATCGTTTTGATATTTTGTGTTTTGACTATATCCAGGGCTACAATTTCACGTCTCTTGTGATATACCAACTACACATATGGAGATACCTATGGCTATCTATTCTCAATTTATTCCATCTATCTCCCCGCGTTCCACATTGCTCTGTGGGATACAAGAAAGATGATGTTGATGTTGAAAGAGAATAATAAGGAGAAGATGAGAGAAAAGGAGAAAAGAAGAGGCAGGAGGTTTATAGTTTTGGCCTCTGTCCGGATTAGGAAGGAAGGGTCTTGGTACTCCCCGATGACAAGAGCAACTGGAAATTGTGGGATTTTGGACAATATATTGGTGCAAACCCCGATGAGACCTCAAATTCCCATCTCAGGTAAAGGCCATGGAACATCCGTCATTAAAAATTGGTCCAGATCAAAGTTCTGCAGACTAGGCATATCAATCATCAAATCACCCAGCCACGAGAACTCCGCATCTGTGACCAGCGTGTCTGGCGCAGCTTGCTCTTGCCTTTGACTCTGGTCGGCTAACGCGGTCCGTGCAATCTGCGTCTCGGCCTGATCATCCACGGGTGCCGCAGCGGCAGCATTGACCCGCAACACCTCGGCAAGAGCACGGGTATCATCCTCCTTTCTCCGCTGATGCAACGCAATAAGTAGGTATGCCGTAGAATACGCCTCGCGCATAGAATCTGTATCATAGGCAGCGAGAACTTCACGCAGAGTCTGCATCGCATCGGCCAGCAGCGCCAACGCAGCCCGATTGTCAATCGCTAGAAGCGAGCAGACGACCTGAAAGGGGACATTGGCAACTTGGTGCCAGGGACAGGTGGAGGCGACCATATCTCGTGCGGCACGGAGTCCGCGGCCAGCCAGTGCAAGGACACGGTCAAGGAGGTTGGAGGATAATGGGCCGTGGGGATTTAGAGCGCGGAGACGGCGGTAAATGCATAGCATTAGGTTGCATTGGACTAAGATTAGGGAGGGTTCGGAGTAAAGGAGGTCCAGCACGGAGGTGAGGGCTGTTTCGAGTTCTGGGAGATCTTGTGGTGACGGCCCTGTTGGGTCGAGGTTTTCGGAGAGTGGGAGGAGGTGGAAGAGTTCTGCGCGTGGGGCTCGTGGTGGCGCTTGCTGTGATGGTTTGCGGGATGGGGGTGTGCTTGTAGGAGATAGGGCTGTGGCGCCGTGAAGGACAACACGGGAGCGGCCGAGGTCGAAAGAAATCCATGTGTTAAGGTGACGAGCCATGCCAAAGAGCCTTTGCCGGGTTTCCAGGTCGCTAGTGTCCTGGCTTCCTATATCGCCATCTTGGCTACCATGTGTCTCGGGCGGTGATGCTTGAAGCAGGCCTGCTGCTTCTGGATCTGATGTTTCAATGTGCAATCCTGCAGCTTCGATGATATGCATCAGCGTACAGCTAGCCATCCATGCAGCATGTGGTGAGGCTGTCATGCGTAGATACGCAGCACGCAACACCCAGCCTGTCGCTATGTCGACCGATGGTATTTCCGCTGCGAGTATACTCTTATCTAGTAGAATGCGCGCAGTCTCAACGAGTCGAAGCTCCAGTGGTATAATCTCGCGCCGCGAAAATAGATATCCGAAGGCAGCCACGCCACATAGCACAGCATCATGGGGGTGTTCCGCGGAATCAATGGGAGATGACGAAGATTCCCAACGCTTTGCGATTCGAGTAAATATCGTTTTCCGGTCCAGAAACGTATAGCATGAATCGACCTTATCGAAGTAAATCGCTGCTAGCCGCCGCATCTCTTCCTGTGAGATGATTTTGATGATAGTCATCGGCGCCGACGCTGTGACAGGCATCGAGGGAAGCGCCGAAGATACTATTGGCGACATCCGTCTCGCGCCGACATTCCAGGCAAACAATTGCAATCTTGGTGCATGCGCCGGGTCAATTTTCAGCCCAAGTTTGCGAACAAACGCAGCACCAGAATTGGCCTGTAGGGAATGAGCAACGCCCTCTGAACTGCTCGTACGGCGGGCAGAAGTCTGTACCGTAGGGCTGGCTGCGGCACTAGTAATATTGGGGACTGTATTGGACCGGCCATTTGTAGATCGTTCGTCAAGTAGACTCCCTGAGTACAGACTATGGGATCTGGCGCGTTTCTTGCGCGCACTGTATTGGCATTCTGCACCAGTTTGGGCGCAGGTGCTACAAGGCTGTCCACCTGAACATTTTCGCTTACGCGACTGACACAAACAGCAGGCTAAACGTGAGCGCTTGCGAGGCGTTGACTCGGACATATTTGGAAAACTACGGGAAGCATCGCGGGGAGTTGGATGGGTATTTAGTGCCAAGCAAATTAGACATCTCCCCTTGCCAATTTGAACTACAACCACGGATGTACACTTGCTTTTTTTTTTTCCTCTCTTCGCCATTCACATTTTGGCTTAATCCTTGTATTTGCTTCCATCCGGGTATCCCATCATCTCCTCAATTTCCTTCAGATCTGGCATTCCCGCTGGCCCCGGCATATACTGGAGATTATCCCGTAGGGTCGTACCATTCCACCATATTTCGTTCTTGTGCAGCGCATCCATAATCATCGGTGCGTCGATGTACGTGCGGATCTCGACCATCTGGCCACGATACCAGCGTGTGAACCAGACATTGATGATATCGAACTTGTCGCCTGTAGTGGGTCAGCAATGCTGAAGATAGGAAGATCTTCTTACTCACCGGAATTCATCACGCCTTTGAACTGAATCTCCTCCACTGACCATTCAGCGTTACATCCACCATAGATTCCCTGAGGGTGGATCTCGAACAGATCTGCGTGGTCAAAAAATAACATGCTGACTCGACGCAGGGCATTGACATAAAAGTGCATTAGGTCGTGATAGCGGCCGGCGATCGGGTGATGCCCGACAACGGTGAAGCTGACATTTTTGTGGATCAGCGTGAATAGCTTGCTCATGTCCTTCTCAAGGTGTTTGAATGAGTCCCAAATGTGGTACTGGGACGCATATTTACAATCTGTGGATGGGTTCTCGAACTTGAACCCTTCTCGGTCATGGGGTATTGGGTCGTCTACAACACCAGTGCCATTGCATTTTCCGTCTGGGTCAACAATTCCAGTGCCATCATCACATCCTGACTTCAAAAGTGGACCCTGGGTGTTGTCTCCAAGGGTTGAAAAAACGGAGCGCCCAAAAGTCGCCGAGGGTAGGAGAAATGCCAATAGGGCATAGGATATATATTGAGATAGAATCATTGTTTAATTCCTGTAATGAGAACACGAGAAACTACCTGTCTTGGTCATTTTGCCTTATATTCAAAGAGGTTTTTATACCTGGTGCTACCTTGATTTCAATAATGTGCCGTTGTGTTGCCTTTGGACGCCAACGTTGCTTCCCTTAAGTACTAGGCTGTCACCCCTTAAATGAACCCCGTCTGTGACACAACAAAACCTACCGAGATTGTACAATTGAACGGCATGTTCCCACACGGAAGACCTATCAATAATTGAGTACCTCCTAGTGGCCAATGGCGCCCAACGTGCAGGGCTACTGCAATGTGCCATTGGGTGGGGCAATAGTACGGTGTGCAGTCGACAGAATCCAGATTATCAAGCTACCTCAATATTTGGTATTGCCTATCTTTCAATTCAAAGTTATATAGATGTGATGATCCCATTGAAAATGGTAAATAATTCTGTGTGCCTGAGCGATATCATTATCCAGGGCCGACCTCGGGAATGGCCCGGGGTGGCGATTGGATGAGTCAGAATCCCTGAACCGGTAGCAGAATTTTGACGCGCTCCGATTGGCCGACAACGGCAATGTCGGTGAGGGCACGTGCCCACGGAGTCGGAGGTGAAAAACCTCTTGTTTCCCCTTCTTCTCCATTTTCCTTCTACTCCAAAAAACCCAAATTTCTCCATGTTCCGCTAAAAAGCAACCCTCCATTTCCCTCTACCATACCCTGACTGCCACCTGCTCAGTCGCGCTTATGTGTTTGGCACCCTCGATCTTCACCTCCCAGGACTATATCTCGGACCACCTTTGGAAGGCCAACATCAACTGAATAGCATAAAGCTTTCTGATTTACAATTCTTACTTATAAAAAAATGATCTCCAACCTCTTCAAAGCGATGCCTGCTCGGGCTGCTTTCGCCTCCATGCAGCGGCCTGTTCAGGCTCGCTTCATGGCTACTGTGCGTCAGCGTGCCGCTATGGAGCCTGCTACCTTCACTATCCGTGACGGTCCTATGTTCTCCGGCAAGTCTTTCGGTGCCCGCTCCAACATCTCGGGCGAGGCTGTCTTCACCACCTCCCTGGTTGGATACCCCGAGTCCTTGACCGATCCTTCATACCGTGGCCAGATTCTGGTTTTCACCCAGCCTCTGATCGGCAACTACGGTGTTCCTTCCGCCGAGAAAGATCCCAATGGACTTTTGAAGTACTTCGAGTCCCCCCATCTCCAGGCAGCTGGTGTTGTTGTTGCCGATGTCGCCGAACAATACAGTCACTGGACCGCTGTCCAGAGTCTGGGCGAGTGGTGTGCCCGCGAAGGTGTCCCTGCTATCTCCGGTGTCGATACCCGTGCTATTGTCACCTA